CTGATGAGGCCCATCATCTGCATCTGCAACGACCAGTGAGTGGGGCAGGGGTCCTCCACAGGCCAGGTTCTGGGGGGCTGAGGAGCGGCCTCTGCCGGAGGGCAGAGGGCCCCTGGGAGGGCACGGCCCCACCCCCTCCTGGCCACCCAGTGGGTTTGAGGCTGAGATTTGGCCCCAGGGTCCCGCCGGTCCCCTGTGCCTGCTGGGCTGTGGTGTGTGGCCCGGTGCCCCTGGCCGAGCAGGCATGGTGTGGACGCTGCCTGGTCCTGCAGGTTTGCGCTCTCCCTGCGGCAGCTGAAGCAGCAGGCTTTCCTGCTCCACTTCCCGCCCACGCTGCCCTCACGGCTCGTGCAGCGGCTCCAGGAGGTCAGTGAGGGCTGGGGCGGGGGGCAGGCCGCCAGGGGCCACATGGCCGGCCACTGGGTGGGAGAATGCGGCCCCTGTCCTGGTCTCCAGCTCCCCTGTCCCCTCTCCCCTCCAGGACCCCATTCTCTCTGCAGTCTGCCTCCCCGGTTCCCTGGCTCAGGACGTGGGGGTGTGGTGACCGGACCACTTTGGTCTCTGGTGGTAGATGGTTCCAGGCAGAGACTGGGCTGGTCCACAGGGGTCCGCAGCCTTTGTACTTCACAGGATGAGGGCTGCTGTTCACCTGCTTCTAGGGAAGAGGGACCACAGGGTGGGGTTCTGGGGTCTCGGGGAAGGGAGTGCCCACCCTCTCATTTCCCTCAGATCTCCCTGCGGCAGGGCATGCAGGCCGACCCAGGCGCACTGGCGGCCCTCTGTGAGAAGACAGACAATGACATCCGCGCCTGCATCAATACACTGCAGGTGGGTAGGGGGAGGGTGGGCCGGGGCAAGGGGGGCTCGGTGGCTTCTCACCGCCCCCACCCCTGTGTCTAGTTCCTGCATGGGCGCGGCCAGCGGGAGCTGAGCGTGCGGGCCGTGCAGACCACACACGTTGGCCTCAAGGACCAGCGGAAGGGGCTGTTCTCCGTGTGGCAGGAGATCTTCCAGCTGCCGCGGTCCCAGAGGTAGGCAGGGGCGGGTGTGGCAAGTGGACAGACCAGCCTTGGCCTGGACAGCCCCAGCGCCCCAGCCCTGGGACACCAGGCCCCGTTTGTGTAGGCCAGCTCTGCCTCTGCTGATGGAGACCCAAGGCTGCCTGGGTCCTGGGAGCCACTCCGCCCTGCCTTCAGGGCACTGCCTCCCCAGATGCCTGGGAGCCCTCAGGGAGCGGGCTGCCACGAGAGGAATGAAGTAGACGGGGGGCTGGGATTGAGGGGGGATGGGGGTTCCATTCCAGCCTCAGCACCTCTTCTGCAGGCGGCGCGTGGGCCAGGACCCAACCCTGCCCACCCACACACTCCTGCTCGTTGATGGGCATGCGGGCCTGGGACCCCACGCGGCGGAGGTGCCTCTGAGCATGGCCTCACAGCGGTTCTACCATGTCTTGCACGTGGCTGCCTCTGCAGGCGAGCACGAGAAGGTGGTCCAGGTAACCACGCTGCTCTCCAGCCTTTCCAGGGGGTCAGGAGGCTTGCACCTGGCCGTGTCTCCTTGTCTGTGGACAGTGAATGGGGGATGCTTCAGATGCGCCAAACTCGAGGAGAAACAGGAACGAGAGTGAGGGGTGGCGGAGTCCTCTGGGAGGTGATGGTGAGCAGGGCCAGGGCCAGGAGGAGGCACTGGCTGCTGGCTGGTGCCTGGAGGGGAATGGCCAGCCTGGGCTGCCCACGACAGGGGTTCATCTGACCCATGGGGTCATTCTGGTTGCTGGTTGGGAACCGTCTGAAGGGCAATGGCAATGGCTGGGCAGCCTGACCCGGCGGCCAGGAGGGGCTGGTTTCTGGACGTGAGCTTCGGGAATGGGGACATGGTGCACGTGGGTGGGGTGAGGTTTTGGCCTGAGCAGGTGGCAGAGATGCCTCCACTCCTGGGAAGCTGGCCTGAGCTGCCTCCCTGACTAAGCAGCTTTGGATTAGCAGCTGGGGATCTGCGAAAATCCAGAAGCCCATTGCGAGGGGGGGTCACGTGGTGGCGGAGGAGCAGGACTCCCACCGGGGAAGAGAGTGGGGGCTCCATGCCCTCGTTTGGGTGGTGGGGGCTGCTTTTAGGGAGAGGCTGGGGCTGGAGCCTGATGACTCTTTGAGGTGGTCATGGCAGTGGGGGTTCTCTCCCGCACATCCCAGGGTCTTGGCCAAACCAGAGTAGGGTGGCAGGGGGCCTTCCTGGCTCCCCAGGGCCCGGTGGCCTTGCTGGTGGACTTGCAGGGCAGGTGGGGGTGAAGGGTCTCAGTGGGTGGTGCTCATTGGGTGGAGGGGCTCAAGGGCCTGCCCACCTCCTGCCCATAGGGCCTGTTTGACAACTTCCTGCGCCTGCGGCTGCGGGACTCCAGCCTGGGCACTGTGTGCACGGCCCTCGACTGGCTGGCCTTCGACGACCTGCTGGGCCGGGCCGCCCATCATGGCCAGAGCTTCCAGCTGCTGCGCTACCTGCCCTTCCTGCCCGCGGCCTTCCACCTGCTGTTTGCCTCCAGCCACGTGCCGAGGATCGCCTTCCCTAGCAGCCAGCAGGAGGTGCGCCCCTGTGCCCTGCCCATGCCCAGGGTGGCCCAGGGGTCCTTGGTGACCTGGTTCTGGTCCACCCTTCACCCCAGGCCCAGAACCGGACAAACCGGACGCAGAACTTGATCCAGACACTGGTGTCGGGCATCGCGCCAGCCACCCGCAGCCAAACTGCACCCCAGGCCCTTGTCCTGGACGCCCTCTGTCTGCTCCTGGACATCCTCTCTCCCAAGCTGCGCCCTGTGAGTGCCTCCCCTGGAAGAGGGGTGTGGCTCCTGGTGGGTCAGGCCCCTGGCTGTACTCAGTGTCCCTGCTGGCCCTGGCCTCCAGGTGAGCACACAGCTGTATAGTGCCCGTGAGAAGCAGCAGTTGGCCAGCCTCGTGGGCACCATGTTGGCCTACAGCTTGACCTACCGTCAGGAGCGCACGCCCGACGGGCAGTATGTCTACAGGCTGGAGCCGTGAGTCTCCCTAGATCCGGGGTCGGGGGCCTGGGGACAGGGAGGCTGGACTCCGGGTGCCATGGTGATTGCTGGGCCGGGAATCTAAAAGCGTGGCCTTGGCAGGGCATGTGACCCTCAGTGTCCCTGTCTGTCAGGCGGGTGGTTTGGTGTGGGGCCCAGCCCAGCCCTTGCTCAGACCTGACTGTGAAGTGGGCCCCCAGGTCGTGCATAGCCTCTCACTGCCTCAGTCACCCCCAGGAGTGGCTCCCAGAGGGCCCTTGGGCTCTGTGGGGCTCCGTTTCCCCATCCTGAGATGGTTGTGGGGACAGAGTGCCGGCTCCGGTCTCGCTGCCCAACAAGGGTGCCAGCGCCATCCAGGATGCTGGCATTTCTCCTGTCCCAGGGCAAGGAGGCGTGATGGTGGCGGTTCCTGAGCCTGAGCCCAGCTGGGTCACATTGTCTCCTTTTCTCCTCTGCAGCACCAGGGAGCGTCCCTCCTCATACCCCCATCTACTTGGGGAAACTGAGTGCAGATAGTTCCCCTTGCTGCCACAGGGCTGGGATGTGGCATTGCCAGGGCTGGGCCCCATAGTGAGCTCTTGTGTTCTGGCATTTGGTGTGGGGTAGCTCCTGCCCCTATTCCTCTGACCAGGCCCCTGGTGTCCTGCCCTCCCCTCCCTGAGTAGGAACGTGGAGGAGGTCTGCCGCTTTCCTGAGCTGCCCGTCCGCAAGCCCCTCACCTACCAGGCCAAGCAGCTCGTTGCCCAAGAGATCCTAGTGGAGAAGATGAGGCGGGTAGAGGTCGTGGCCCAGGCTGGGGACAACCCTCAGGTGAGCCCGCCCCAGGCTCTGGGCAGAGTGACGCCTGGGAGGGCAGGGCCCTTAGAGGGGACACTGCCCTTGGTATGCACTGTTCACTCAGCTCTCACCACACCCCACTTCCTGCAGGACAAGGGTCCCCCTGGGGCCTATGGTGCGCTGGGGAACCCTGGGGAGAAAGGGGTGCAGCCACCCACGCCGCACAGCCAGGAGCACAGCCACGAGCAGCGTCTGGAGCGCATCCTGCGGAGAGCGGCCCTGGAGGAGCAGGTGCAGGGGCAAGGCCCAGTGGGCGTGGGGCGGGGGGATGGGGGGGGTCGGTGGGCGTGGGGCGGGGGGATGGGGGGCGGGGCCCAGTGCGCGTGGGGCGGGGCCGGGCGGACGTGCGGGCGGGGCTGGCTCTTGGGGGCCTGTCTGAAGGTCCAGCTCCCCAACTCAGCATGGTGGGGTTCCACCTGTGCTCAGTTTCCCCCCTGGACAGGGGTGTGGGCTCTGCTGGCGCCTCCCGCCCTGGACTTGACCCTGGCAGGGAGCAGGCAGCTGAGGGGGACACATAACTTGCTGAGTGGGCCTGGGATGGGGAGGCGGGCATCTACTCCACTACCCGCTGCCCAGGGGCACCACAAGGCCCCTCCTCCTGGGAGACGGCCTCTGGGCCCCCCCTTCGAGGCTGGGAGTGTCCACGTGGGTCTGTCCCAGGCGGCCTGACCAGCCCGCCTCCTTCAGCCCGAGAGGGACTTCTTCGGCCGTGTGGTGGTCAGGAGAGCAGCAGCGACCAGCGCAGGTGCGTGGGGGCGGCAGCGTGGGGGAGGGAGGGGCGGGCGGGGCCGGGCGGAGGAGCAACTGTGTGGCCTGCACAGAGGACAGGGTCCCCGAGACGGACGCGGCCGAGCGGCGCATGGGCACTGCGGTGGGCAGGAGCGACGTCTGGTTCCGCTTCAAGGAGGGCGTCTCCAACGCCGTGCGGCGCAGCCTGTACGTCAGGGACCTCCTGTAGGGGGGTCTGTGCCGGATACCCCATCCACGCTGACGCCCCGGGGTCCACGCTGGATGCCCTGATGCACGCTGGTTGCCCCCGGGGCCTAGACTGGACACCCCGCATCCACACTGACACCCTGGGACCTATGCCTGACGCCCCGGCGTTGCTGTTAGAAAACGCAGAGAAGCACGAACACCCCGGGAACGCACTTGTGATTAATATATAGTCACACCTTTACAGAGTTGGTCTCTACAGGGAGGGCAGCGGGCCTCACAGGATGGCGCACTTGCCCCTCTCCACCCACGGGTTGTTCTTCATCAGCTCGGGGTTCAGGAAGGGGTCCTTGGGGATCCCGTCCTCGATCCACTTAAGGAGCCTGCGAGTGGGAAGGGTGGTGTGAACAGAGGGCACCTGGGCCCCCTGAAGTGCTGCCCGATGGCCGGGTGGTTGTGGTCGCGTCGGATGGCCTGGCGCCCCAGCCCAGTGCAGACGTGCAAATGAGATGCAAATAGCGTGGCCCTGGGTGGGCGGGGCCTGGGACTCACTCGGGGATGGTCTGGGAGGACAGCTCCCTCTTGAAGGCCAGCTGGTACTTGAGGCTCTCGACCTCCTTCTTCATCTGGGGCACATCCCACTCCTCCATGGCGTCGGGGGCTTCAGCACTGGCCAGCCTGGGGCTGCAGGGCACAGAAGGAAGCAACAGAGCCCGGGGCTGCCAGCCTTCAGTCACCCCCAGATGCTGCCTCCCCACCAGTCACCAACTCCCACCCTTGCACACTGACCCCCAGCCCACTGCCTGGAGGTCCCCAGAGGCCACACCACCCACCCAGGCCCTTCCCCACATTTGCAAAGGCAGTATTGGGGTGCAGACCTGGAGCTGAGGCCCCACTAATGAGGTCCCACATGCCTGTCCCCCATGGGGCTAATTAACTGCAGAGGAAACTTTCCACCCTTAGCTCTGCACCCCCACCCCTGTCAAAGCCTTGCCGCAGCCGGGCCTCTGGGCTGGAGACAGACGCCCCAGGAGAGAGTGGGCCAGTGCCCACACCATTCTTGATGCCGTATAAGCTGTGAGGCCCACTTCCTGCTCCTGCCCATCACATGAGGGGTGGGGCCCTGTCTTCTGCCCCCCGCCCCCCGTGTGCCTCCCTCCCCTTGTTTTGCATGAGCAGAGCCCACCCAGAGAGCAAGTTAATCCTGGAGCCAGGAGGATTTGGCTGCAATTTGCATCTCTGACCAGGGGCCCAAGTGGGGAGGCTGGGTGGTGGTGTGCTGAGGATCTCAGGGTCACAGGTTGCACAGCAGGCCCTGGACGATGCTGAGCCTCCCGCTGCCCACTGTCTCCCCCGAAACTATCCACAGACTGCCTGGCCCACTTTCTGCTTGTGAACCAGCCTGGCAAAGCCACAGGTTGAGACCTCAGGAGAACTGTTAGGGGCAAATGAGGGTCGGTGGCTCCCTGCCTCCCCCACTCCAGGGGCCCAGGGGGTCCGTCTGCCCCCAGCCCCGAGGCAGAGCAGCAGGGGACTGGCTTCCTTGAACTTGGCAGTGTGGGCAGGGGGCTGGCAGAGACAAACAGGAGCATGACCACCCGTCTCAGGCTCTCAGGCTATGCGGGGGCTCCCGGGTGGAGGGTCTGTCCTGGGGGTGGTCATAGGAGGGTCCGTGGGGAGTGAGATGACTGCCTGGAGGTGTGGTCTGCCGGAGGAGGGGCAGCCAATGCGGGGGTGTGCAGGGGCTCCCCTCCCAGAGACCCCAAGTTCCAGCAACCCTACCTTGGTGCCGGCTCTCTGGGCCCTGTACATTGACAGCTGCGTGGGTGGGGGCCTCCCAGGCGGGGAGCAGCAGCCCTGCTCGCAGTCCCCCTCCTTGCAGCCCCTTCCCCTGCCACCTGTGCACAGCTGCTGCCAGAGCCGGCGGTCCGCCCCCTGTGCCCCGTGCTGCCCCCGAACCAGCCCCAGTGCTCAGCAGGCACCGTGGGTGATGTGTGAGGTGCCGGGACCAGCTCCCTCTCTTGCCACCCTTCCTGCCCACAGACGAAGGGGGTCCTCCCCACGGTCCGGCCAGGCCCCTTGAGACATGGAGGGCAGCTGCCCTCAACCCAAAGACGGACAGGCAGAGGCGGCTGGGCGTTAGGACAGTCCAGGTTAGCCCAGTGGGACCTGGGCAAGTCCCAGAACCCTGGGCCTCGGTTTCCTGCTCAGCCCAAGGGGCCGGTTTGTCAGACCTACCTTGGACGGGGCCGCAAGGGCGAAGTGACAGCAAGGTGATGCTGAGGGCGAACTGATGGGCAATGAGCTGGGCACACAGGCGGGCAGAGCCCAGGCAGCTGCCCCGCCCACTCCTGCCACCTGGGGCCAGGCCTGGCGCCGCCCCCACCCTCCACCCTCCCTCCTCAGCGCTGGGCTGACCCCGGGGACCCGGCTTCGCCGGCGCTCTGCCAGCTCAGGGGTGGGAGATGCAGCAGGGGCAGTGTGGGGTGAGCTCCAGCCCTGGGCAGTGAGGTCTCCTCCCACGGGGCTGTGTGGCCACGTGGTGCCAGCACCAAAGACCTTTGGCCATTAGATTGTACCCCAGTCCTCCAATTCCCTTCATGAGGTGAAGTCACCAGGCCAAGTGGGAGTAGGGGAGATGGGGTCAGGCCGCTGTGAACTCTGGGGCCTCAGCCATGTCCACGGACGAGCCAGTGGGTGGCCCTGCTGTGGTCCCTGCCCCCATTCCCAGGCCAGCTGCAGGCAGGCAGGGCAACTGCCCCGAGGGTGGGAGGGTGCTTCTGTTCTTCAGTTGGCCAGAGCTGGGGTCAGCCAGCCTTATTCTGTGCAGGTTCAGGGGTCAGCCTGGGAAGGTGCTGCCCTGAGAGGTAGTAAGTGCCTGGCTCAGGGGTGCCCAAGCCCAGGCTGGGTGGCTGTTGGGGCGCTGGGGAGGGAGGGGGGTTCCTTCCTCTCCATGGGCCCATCACCGCTGCTGGCTCCTCAGCCCAGCCCCAGTCAGAGGCCCGTGAAGACACTGGCCCTAGCTCCCACCCCGCAGGGCGTCCCCTCCTCCTCTGACACGCCCTACTTAGCTCTCGGGGGAGCTGCATCCCGGGCAGGGACCCCCAGGCAGCAACAGCAGCCGTGGACGGCGGGGCCTGGCTCCCCAAACTCAATCCCCACGGAGGCTGGGCCCTGTGGCTCCCGGGATGCCTGGACCAGGCCCTTGGCGGGTGCTCCCGCAGCATCCCTGGGCTGGGGCCTGTGGACGGTCATGTTGCCCCCACCAGGAAGGCAGGATGGGCGCTCCTGCCCCCTCAGGCTCCCTGGCCCTCCCTGTCCTCATTTTCTAAAATGGGGTCAGTGCGCCTCCCTGGCCCCTTGCACATCAACACGATGACGGATCAGGAGGCACTGCTGGAACTGGGGCACATTAGGGAGACTCAGGATTATTTTTATTACAGATTTATGGGGGTGGGGGGCTTAGAGCCAAGGGCACTGGCGTCCACCTCAGGGCAGATGGTCAGCAGAGCTGGCCTTGCTGCGCCTGTTCCTGCCTACCCTAGGTGCGTGCCTGTCACCCAGGCTGCCTGGGGCTCTGCTCACATGGGCTGGGTGCTCAGGACAGGGTGTTGCATCGGCCCCCAGGACTTGCTCAAGGTTTGGACTGAGACCCAGACCAGCCAGGCCCCCTTACCAGTCATGCCTTCCCCTTGAGGGCACGGGCAGAGCTGGGTGCCCAGGACCAGGTTCCAGCCCAACAGTGACCCGAAAGCCCCTGGGAGAAGCTCTGGTGTGGCCCGGCCGGCATGGCCCTCCATGGTCTGCTTGGACCCGGATTTCGGGAGCTGTTCCAGCTCTCACTGTGGGATCAGGAAGTCCATTGTGGTCACAGCGGCAATCAGTCCACATGTGGGGCTGCGTCTTGTGCTTGAATACACCTGGGTGCCATGGTGCCGCCAGGACAGCTGGAGCCAGGCCTGCCCTCCTGGCATGCTGTGCTGTTTCCAGTCTGGGTGCCAGTCACGCCCGCTGCCCTTGGGATTCAGAACCGGTCCTTGTGCTGACCTAGGCAGGCTTGTGTGACGGAGGCCATGACCCCACACGGTGGCTGAGCTGACGTATGCCTGCTCGTGTCAGGCATCCCCAGTCCTTGGTGAGTGTCAGGGGACCCGGCAGGTCCTGTTTCTCACCTTCCTGGGAGGGTGGACTTGTGGACCCCAACACGTGCCAATCCAGGCCCCCTGCACTGGAGCCCGCCCCAGGGGGACCTGGCAGGTCTGGATCCACGGTGGGAGGAGGATGCTCGTGAGGGAGGCAGACAGCTTGTCCTCCAGCTGACCGCTGCCTCGCAGGTGCCTGGAACGGGTCCAGGGAGACGAGACACCGTTCTGAAATTAGCTCCACTAACTGGGTTGCTGGGGAGAGACCACAGGGCTTCTCGCTGGCCTGGAAACGGCCACCCCCGGTGCTGCTGGGCCTCCCCGGGGGCTGTGGAGGGTGGGCGCAGCAAGACCCCAGGGCAGGGGCCCCTTTGTGCTGATATCAGTGCTCAGGAATAAGAATCAAAAAGCTGTGTGGAGTGCTCTGACCCCTCGGCAGGGTCCCCACGGAGGGCTCAGGCAGGAGGGGAGGAAACACCCCAACCAGACGGGACCCATAGCTGCTGCCAACCCCGCCGGGCGGGGCCAGAGCTGAGGCTGGTCTCTGTCACGGGGCCACCTCTGAGTGTGCGGGGTGTGCTGGTGACCCTGTACCACCCCAGCACTGTGGGCTCCAGCTCCGTGTGGGGGAGACCTGCTCTCCTCCACACGGCTCCCAAGTGAGCACGCAGCACTGGGCAGCTTTACTTCGGACCCTTGGGGCAACAAGAGGCTGCATGCCACCCCCGCCCTGAGGCACAGTGACAACAAATGGGCCTGGTGGCTGCAGGGGGACGTACCGACTTGTTCCCCATCCCTGGAATCAAAACCAGCAGAGGTGAACATGGGCACTGAAAAAATACCAAAGAAACTTTTTACTTCACTCAGTTAAACATTGCTCAAAAAACCAGATAGCTTTTACATAATCTTTGAAAGTTTGAAAATGATTTCCAAAAATAATTTAGGCTCTTAGACTCATGTGTGCAAAAACACAAAGAATGACTCCAGGGGTGTCGTGGGCGGACGGCCCTGGTCTTGGGGAACCGGCCTTGGTTAACGTGGTGCATCCTGACAGCTGTCGGGGCTCCAGCCGCACCTGAGGTCACATGAACCCATGAACACACGCTGGCAGGCGGGGCACCGCCAGCCCTGCCTGTCTCTTCCCCAGGAGGCAGCCCCAGCACCTCCCGAGGGCCGGCTGTCTTGGGGAGTCCGGATGCCGCTCCCCTGGCCGGCCGACCTGGGCATTCCAGTGTCTTCCCAGGGAAACGACAGACACGAATCTGCTCAGCTACAGGTGGTTTGTGGCCGAGGTGCGGCCTCCTGAAGGTCTGTGGAGAAAGGGGCACCTGTGCCAGGCTGTGGGGGCAGGAGAGCCTGCGGTGGCTTTCACAGACCCCCGTGGTCCCAGGTGGCCAGCTGTCCGCACATCCCACCATCCCCAACGGGACTCTTGCCCTTAGGTGCTGCCGCCCCCTGCTGCACAGTGGACACTTACTTTAGAGACAATGAAGGTTGAGCGACTTTGCCCAGGGACACCTGAGAAGCAAAGACACATCTCAGCACTGGCCCAGCCCCGTCCTCCAGGGCTGGTGGCCCAACCTGGGGGAGCACCGAGCCCTTGGATGCAAGTCCTGCGCTACCACCACAAGTGGTTCATGCCATCCGCCCATTGGGAGACAGGCCCTTGGGGCAGGTGCCACTCACCACTCAGGTTTCTGCCACCACGTGGGACAGGAAGAGGCTGAAGGGCTGCGTTTCTGGACCCTCGAAGCTCAGGGACAGGCACAGCAGCTCACTCATGTAGTCAGGGCCCAGGGCCTACCACCTGCACAAGCATGAAACATTCCAGCACGTGGCTGGCTCTGGTCTCACTGTGTCCACAGGCTATGCGGGGTCCCCTCCTGATAAGGCCTGTGCCACTCAGAGGGCCCGGTGTGTCGCCACTGAGTCTACTGGTTTGCATCTTTAAAGGCATATGCACCTTAAGGGTGGCGAGGGGGACGGATGCTTGTGGCGGGGACCGAGTCTCCTTGCCCAGCATGCCGTGGCCCCGGCATCCGGCCCATAGATGCAAAGGCAGGGCCCTACCCGGGCTCCCAGCCTCCTCCTGACATGGAGTGGCACCCAGCTCTGGGCAGTGACTGCTGAGAATCCCCTCTGAGAGCCAGGCGGCGCTGGTGGGGGTCTGTGAGCAGGGAGGGCCCCTTGCATTCTGGGCTTTGCAGCTGACTGCACACACCGTCCTCTGATGAGGTGGAGCAATGCCGGCCAGGGCAGGCATGGCCAGCTGTCTGCTGGTTCTGGGAGCAGCTTGCTCTCTGCTGCTTTATCAGAGGAGACCGGCGCAGACCTGCCTGCTGGGGCCAGGACTGTCGCCTGAACCAGGAGCTGGGCCAAGGAGTGGCCTCACGCTGTGACTGCGCGGCTGGCGGCCGAGAGCATCAGGACTCACGCAGGGCGGGCTCCTGGTCGGTTGCTTGGGTCCTGCATAATCATGCCCACCACATCCAGGAGGATGGCGGTTTTGTGCAAGAGGCCTTCTAGAAACAGCTTCAGCACCCAGTTTTCCTACGGAGCAAGTGAAAGAGACGCTTTAGAGGACGACGCTCTTCTGGCGCCCCCAGCACCCAGTCGCCGGCCTCACCCTAAAGGCAAGGGTGATGTCCAGCAGGGGTGTGTGCAGGGCAGCCCTGTGGGCAGCATGTGGAGAGTGGCTTGGACACAGAGGAGCACGCAGGCGTTGAGGCCCAGCTGGCGGGCAGATGGTGGTGAGGGCAGTGCTCCAGCTGCCGCCAACGAGACCAGGCCCGAGCAGTCCTCCCCACAGGTGCTGAGCGGTGCCCAAGAAAAGGCAAAGTGGAGAGTGAGGCCGCCCAGCCCGCAGAGCGAGGGACCATGGCCATGGGGAGATCAGATGGCAGGCTGGAGGAGAGGCCCCACGCAGACCCACCTCGCCGTGGAAGAAGCTGGAGGGCAGGGAGGGTAGCATGTGCGCCCTCAGCTCCTGCGGGATGCCGTTAGCCACATGCAGCAGCATCTGCAACGAAGTGCACGTGTCAGAGACGAGCAGGGGCCATGGGGCCACGTGTGGGGAGCGGGCGGTCACAGGATGGGGCAGGTGGCCAGTGCACCTGATGCTGTATGGGTGGGGGTCTGGGAGGGGTGGCGGGGGCAGGGTGCTCCACCAGGCTCCAGAGGGTGGGGCGGCTACCAGGCAAGTCCCGCCAAATGCAGTGGAGAGCAGGGTGGGCGCTGGGAC